ATACTTTGCAAGGTGGCCATACCTGAGACAGTTGTAGCATTGTTTTACTGGTGGGATATATTGGTTTACTAAGAACCGCCAACCATGAAGATCGACGTGGTCCGGCAAAACATTAGAAGCAAACGTGATCGCCACGGTGCCCGTCGGCTGCAGGAAACTACGTCCTGCGTCATTCTGGCGTTTTCTCATTATTCTTTTAACACATATAATCTTTCTGTAAGTTGTTAACATTGCAAAAATTCTCGAATTGGAGAGATTATTGGGAACATTAGTTATGACGCCTGTTATCTCTGTCCCAACAGCTGGGATAGAGGCCTTCATTTGGTATTCATTGAGGAATGTAACGTTATTTAAAAAAGCATTCGCTAAAGAAGGCTTTTCGAAATGAACGCCTATTTTGTATTTGTTCATGGATTGTAAATATTTAATTCCCTTATTAAATCTCTTTATATGAGTGGATAGAGACATCATGTCCCGCGTGCCGATTGGCTTATTTTCTTCGTTTGACTCTATAAAAACTACAAAATCAACGAGGACAGAGTCCTCAGGGTACCTCCTGCTGTAATCTGATACAAAATACGGCTTATATTTACGCTGCTCTTTCTCGGAATCTTCGTCAGTACTTGTATCTACTTCTTCCTCTTCGGTCGTTTCTTCAAAAACTTCTTCTTCCGGCAATTTCTTCTTTTTACGTTTCCCCATGATGAGAGAACCCAGTAGTAATAAAACTTGTGAAAGTTTTGTGATTTTCAACAAAATAAAACGAAATTTAAAATTCTAATTTAAAAAAGGCGCCTTTCGCATTTCAACTTTCCCGCGTTTTCCTCCAATTTTAACTTGAGTTTGACATACTCTATGACAGTTGGATAAATTAGTGCTGCCAGACAACATTGCGGTAGTTTATTTAGTAAACAGTAGTGTTAATTATGTTTAAAGATCTTTTAATTTAGAATGTTCTACTTCTTCTATAAATAAACGCGATATTTTAAATTTACGTTAAAATGTAATAATATGTGCAATCCGTATTAATAATCTGATATTATATGCTTATGTCTGCTACCATCCAATCGTGAAGTTCGTAATTTGTCCAGGCAAATTTTTAAATTTGCAAAATTCCGTCTATCAAACGTTTACCTACATTTTCTTAAACAAAGCAGCTAGAAACAATGTTAATAACTAAATGAATTTTATATGTGAAAAAGCAAGAATAATTGCATCCTGCTCCGATTTTTATTATTGTAGCTTGCGCGCAAGGATAATCTAATAATTGCAAGAAACTTCTAGAGGTTGTTGATTACTACGTCACTACAATTTCTTAAAATAGAGGGAATATATTTTTAAATCTTAAAACTGATGATTCTTGGGATAGAATTACCAATTGTAATTATCGTAGAGCATAAATTATACCCTTATTACTTAAGACAATTTGTCGCTAGAAGCACCATTTATCCTATCAATCCTGGGAAGCCCCTTATAAAGAGGATCCATAACATTGCACTTGACCCCTTTGGCAATGTTTTATGTAAATTGGCATGTACATACATCATAATTAGTTGAAAGTAGGAAAATTTTCCCTAATTAATTAATTAATTGCTTTTGTGTCTTGTTAAAATAAGATTCTTAGAAATCAATTATAATAAGGTGTTGTTTAAACGTGCATCCAGCGCAGTTGTTATATTGAGCTGCTAGATAGGAAAAAGATACTAAGGTCATTTGTACATCCCCCAACTATACGACGTATTAAATGAGCTGATGTGACGTATCAAGAATACCAGGGTCACATGTAATTGACATATAACCGTGGTACACGTGAATACGAATATCAATATTAAAAGATCATCATAAAAAATTATTAAACAGATCTAATTAGCATATATACTGTGATCCAGCATTAATAGATAACCTTAATTTTCTAAACATATCTTATCTTTAAGAAAGTACGCAATAAATCGGGATAGAAAGTGTATAAATACTGTCCAAGACAAATATTCTCTTATTTGTTGTCCAGTGGCGAACCCATAAAGAACAACATGAAGCCCATTTTCTTAACGGCAGTTTGTCTTCTTTCACTTCTCAGTCATTATGCAAATGCGAAATCTTTGGCCAGTCAGGAGGCCCTTACCCAATTTGCAAGCCAGGAGAGCGTACACCGCAGTCAAAGAAGCGTTGAAACATTGGCCAGTCAGGAGGCCCTTACCCAATTGGCAAGTCAGGAGACCATACTCCGCAGTCAAAGAAGCGTCGAAGCATTAGCCAGTCAGGAGGCCCTTACCCAATTTGCAAGCCAGGAGAGCGTACACCGCAGTCAAAGAAGCGTTGAAGCATTGGCCAGTCAGGAGAGTGTACATCACCGTGAAAATGGCGCTGAAGCAAGTCGTGAAGGTTGAGAACAGAAAGAGGAAAACGGAAATTATTAGAATCAAAAATCAGTAAAAATTTACATTATTTTACAGTCCTGTTAAATATTGTTTCTAGTAGTTTAAAATGTAATAAGAATGCATCAATAAAGTCTTGACAAAAATGTTTCTATTGTATATTATTCTACAACTCTGAATCCTGACATAGAGAAGTTAATGCTTAATTTTTAGTACAAACGTTACAAATTCTAAGACAAAGACGATTCTAAGTCTCTATTATCTATGGTCTCCTCAACAGAATCTTAATGACATTGTTATTGTTCAAAACTAAATTTATTAGCTCAAATGTATATAATTGTTAATAACAATTTATATACTTGGCCCTACTTTAATATTAAAACTCCGTTAATAGAGACTATTTTATACTTTAGAACTGATGACATAAATACAGACCAAAGAAAAATGAAATCCTGGTTAAATTTCTACGTGGTCTTTTATTGTTGCTGCGGCCATTTCCTGGCAAGGGAATTGCCGCCCGGGATTACGGTCATGCAGAATATTTTATGTTAGTTAAACGGCAGTCTCAGAGAAGCAATTGAAAAAGGGACAGTAACTTTTAGTTGATAATATTGATATATATATATATATATATAGATATACGTTCCAAAAAATTGTCGCGATTCAAAAAACCGCGTTTGTGGTATAACAAATAGTATTGTGCCGTGAGGTTACTTTCCAACGCTTTGAAAAAAAAAATGAATTTGAGATAGTATAAAAGCACTCAATTTTTTTCACAATGAGAAATACGTTTATATTATCTAATTAAGGCAGAATACGTTGGCGGAATGTTTTGTTACAATTTTTTTACCCGGGAATTTAGAAACCGCGCGTAACGGAATCGTGAATAGAGAGACTACTATACTGTAATTATATGAACGTTATTTTCATCTTACTAATATTATAAATGCGAATATTTGGATGGATGGGTGGATGTTTGTTTAAAGGTATCTCCAGAACAGCTGTATGGGTCTGCAATTTTGCATAGATGTACAACATATTCTGGAAGAACACATGGGTTACTTGTTAAGTTTTTTTTAATACCGCGAGGACTGAGTCACGGGCGACAGATATTTAATAATAAATTAATTAAACGAATTATGTGTTACCTATTTATCTTATTGAAAACCACTGATACAAATGGATGCGTACGTCTGGCTTTGTAATATACTTAAGAACTTAACTATATTTTACGATCTTTTGGCTCTAAAATTAAATCTAGTGGACAATCACACATTTAGATGAAAAAGGGACTTCCTAGATATATCTAAATTACTTCTGCTTAACCTTATATCAATATTTATCGTTATAGGTTATCGCTCGACATATTTGCAATGCATAAGTCGTAATAACGAACAATAAAATATAAACATAATAGAGAGGTACTTCCCGCTTAGTTGACACGGATTTATATAATCAGAAAAGTGAAATACCTATATATTTTCCTTAAGAACCAGTATAAAAACAAAACGCGGTGACAACAAGCGACTATCTATACCTTAGTGTAAGAGGTAAAAGACGTACTGAAGAAACATATACATTAAAAATGAAGCTTGCACTCATTGTTGGTATTGTCGCTGCGGTGCTGGTGGCCGAGGCATCATGCCAGTATCCTCATATAATATATCCTACGTACAGGCCGCCACCACAACGACCGATTATAATCCGGACAGCGCGACAGGCGGGTAACGGAGAGCCGTTGTGGCTCTACAAGGATGACAACATAGACCGTGCACCAACGTCCGGGGATATCCCCCGCCTGCCGCCCTACATCGACCCCATAAAGCTGGACCCTCACACCAGGACCGCTCGCAGTTACGACTCGGGCAGCTCAAGGCGCGCCGGCGGCACTCACACATCTGGCGGCAGTAGGGACACCGGTGCAACGCATCCCGGCTACAACCGCAGAAACGCTTAACTTTGCAACTAATTTATCTCTTGTTAAATAAATGACCAATTATAATCTGACGTAAACTATTATTTTATTGCATATTTCCAAAAAGTTTTATAGTTTAAAATAATTTATTAACTAAGATACCCCAAACAATAACCGTATTTTTATATTTTTCTAGAATAATTTCCGAGATTACTTGAGGCTTAGAAAATACTCCTATCGAAATTATAAATAAAGCTATCGGCCAGTTAAAAATAGATTTACGTAAGTTTTGTTATAAAAGTACTTATCAACTTAGGTAATTATAATACAGATAATATGCATGTAAGTGTCACATGTTGGACGTAAAACAAGTGTACAAGGCGATGTTAAACGATGTATTTATTTGCTGATAGCAGAATCTTGGTTATTCCTTAACTAATTATAAATCCGGTTCAGACGAAAGTAATATTGTTACATTATCTCGTATAAATTAAACAATCATTGATATGCAATACACATTGGATAAAAAAACAAACAAATTTTATAGCAATATAAGTAATAACAGATTAAGATTTTTTTTTTTATTTTCGCAAATATTTCATAAACTCCCGCCATAAAGCACGTGTTAAAAAAAACGACGATACTCAGTTTTAAAAGTAACAAATATTCATAAAAAAAAATATTAAATATTTTTATCCGACTTCATTTTATTTCTGCTATATTCATGGATTTATTACATAACATAAAAGCATAACATAACATAGTAAGAAATATAAATACTTTCCTACTCTTTTTTCAGTTAATTATTGCATAAAAATCACGCATAAAATGTATTTTAATAAACGTTTTAATTATTTTAAAATATAAAAGACATTATTTCTTAAAATCTTATTATACTTAACTAAATCTCTCGAAATATGTTTCCATTGCATCCGTGAAACATATTTGAATCCCTATACATTTTGAAAAAAATAATAATCAAAGTATTCCGGCAGTAGCATTTACGCTTAACGTAAATTCCTCGGTAACTCCACCCTATTGTAAATACCACGCTGTCAATTAATCGCGAACCATATGTCGTGGGAAAAAATACGATAACATTGACGTATAACAAAATACCCAAAGATATCCGTTAATAGTATAAAAGATTGTAATTTCAGAGTTTATTGTGCAGTCTACATCTAGAAGTGGAGTCTGGTGTTAAGTGCTAATAAAGATGTTCAAAATTACATTGATTGTTATACTCATAGTAAATGAGTCAATATGTCATCCGACCTTCGGACATGACAGACTGTTTAAAGAACAAATACCTCAAGCAATTATGCATGAGACACAAAAATTATACAACGACGACACCGAACAAGCTCTCAAAATTGACAAACTACATTTACGAAGTCATACTGAAGACAGATTAATACCACAATTGAGAAAACCAAGAAGTATTGACAGTTCAAAAATGAATGAAGACCAAAGCAGAGCCAACAGTGAAACAAAGTACTACCGTGGTTCCTTACCTGTGTTTGCACCGACACGACCCTGGTTTACTCCCCCTATATACTACATATATCATCATTAAATCTTGCTCTCTTTTGAGGTTAACATAATCAAAATAACTCATGATAAAATAATTGCATTTATAAGTTATCGCTATTATTTATTTGTTCGTATTAATTATTTAAGTCTGTGTTTTGTAAGAAATAATAAATTGGAATAAAGATAAAATATTTTTATTTACCTAAATATAATAATAATTTAGCCCTCATCTATTGTATTCATTAATTTCAAATATTTTCGCTGTGATGTGTTTTACTTATTACTAAAAATAAAATTAGAGATATCAATATGTTTTATACTGGTATTTCTACAGAGGAAACTACTGCAAGAGATTAGAATTATTAATAGAAATAGATTAGAATTAAAAAAAAACAACCTAAGAACACATAGCCCTGCCTATGTGTTCTTCCAGACTATGTTCTACGTCTAAGCCAAATTTCGGCGAGGTCCATTTAGCCGTTCCGGATACCTTTAAAAAACATCCATCCATCTATTTGCAGTTATAATATTAGTCAGATAAGTAAGATACACAGAAATAATATACAGTATGTTGTAAAGTTCATACGATCAATAATAGTGCATAAATTATGTATTATAAAACATAATTGTGTACAACAAAAGATACAGAGGTATATTTGCAACTGCGACCTAGGTTATCTTGCGAGGGTAAGGACCTATACGTTCCCGTTTCTCGGTCGCTGATATCATCGGGTAAACAATCTGCTGTTCCCGTGTGCATATAAATATTCTGAACCCCGAGAGCTCTGACCACAGATTGCAATAAGATTTAACACACAGAACATAGAACCCGAGGGCTCTGAGCGCAGTTTGCAATAACGCACATAACATAGAAGATGGCGAAACTTTTACTTATACTGGTGGTTCTTGCTCTTTTTGTTGGAGAATCATTGTGTAAGCCCGGCTCCGATGGACCAGCAGAACAGATTAAAATAATACGTAAAGCACGACTTATCAACCCGGCGCCTACCCTTGATGATCTACTCTTTCCAACAAAGAGTCGCCAGAAGACTTTACAAGGGAGCATCTCAGACGGATTATAATCACCAATTATTCCAAAAGTAATAAACACCAACCTTTATTTTCTATTATTATTACTTCTCAGTACAATATAATTTTAAAGCCAGAATTACATTTGCATTGTCAATACTCGATACAATTTTAAATATATTTTGTACTTTTCTAATTGCTTAAATGTAATAAATATAATTATATCTGTAATAGAACTTATAATTTATACTAATAAATTACTATCAAATCTGTTTTGTCTTTACTTATTGTCAATCTTACTAATATTATAAATGCGAATTTTTATATAGATGGATCGATGGATGATTGTTTGATATCTCCAGAACGGCTGAACGGATCTAAATGAAACTTGCCATACATATAGAACATAGACTGGAAGAACATTTAGGCTACTAACTAGGTTTTTTGAATTTCGCTCGGATTGAATCGCGGGCCACAGCTAGTGTTAGAATATAGAAAAGTTTATCTTTCTTCTTCAAACTTGCTACTTAAATTAAGAGTAACATCTAAATTTAAACTCTCGTAACTGGGCATAAATTGACAACACGTATTCAAATATGAAAAACAAAAAGTTTATTAAAAAGAGATTCCCTCTAAAGTATCCACAATCACTCCTTACCGAAAACTCTAATGTTTCGAATGTCTGGACTGTTGGAAGGCGAAATCAAATGTAATTGGCGGTTTGCCGGATTGCTTTCAAAGCATTGTTAGTCGACCAAAATTATGCAGCGGTTGAATTACACCTTAATTAAGGTGTTTGAGACTTGATTGCTGTTAATTGTTTTGCAACAACTGAAAGTAGTTTGAGATATTACTAAGCAAGACTTTTAAAACTTCTTGGAAAAGTATTGAAATTAGTTTTTATGATTAAGGAAAACTTGTATAGATTTGCATAGACGACTAACAAATAATCGTATAATCAGACTTGGTACTTCCCCTTACTTATTAATATTGAATACTAATAATTATTTAGTATGCTGATACGGTCAAGGTTAGTCACGGTAGTTTAAAGTTTTTAAGTTATGGAATAACTTAAAAACTTTAATCCAGCAACTTTCTATCTTTTTTTGAATAATTACTTCTTTAGTACTTTCATAAATAATTTGTGTACATTTATAATTTCTTTTGGACAGATGTTTTGTTGCAAACTTAATTATATTACTACCTGTCGCCCGCGACTCTCTCCGCGCCGGATTAAAAATAGATGTTGGCCGATTCTCAGACCTACTCAATGTGCTCACAAAATTTCATGAGAATCGGTCAAGCCATTTCGGAGGAGTATGGGAACGAAAATTGTGACACGAGAATTTTATACATGAGATCATAAGTTTAAAAAAAACTGAAATAAAATTAAGAAAAACACTCATAAAGATGTTATTATTATATTTTAATATAATTAATATGTTTTGTTCAAACAAGTACAGAAAATTAGCTTTAGCCTATTAGTTCTTTGTTGTGATATAACATGTGTCAGTAAATTCCATTTGTAAACTTGTTAACGGACTTCCTCGGGAAGTTAAATGTCTTTTAAATTTACGGTACGAATATCAGAGTGTCTGAAGCTGGAAAACATAAATATTATATCAAACTTTATAAAGATACCGGTTGGTAAGGGTTTGATATGTTTTGAATCATTTTATTATTTTTATTTACTTTATTAGCTGTTGCCTGCGATTCGACCGCGCAGAAAAAAAAGCTTAATAAGCCTCATGCTTTAGCCTATGTGTTCTTCCAGACTATGATCTAAATCCATGACAAATTTCATCGAGATCCGTTCAGCTGTTCTGGAGATACCTTCATCACATCACTTCAATCAGATCACTAAAGTTATCGCTAACCTCTGTAAAGTACCAATCTTTACTGAAGTAAGTAAAACTCCGCATGGTCGTAAGAACGCTGGGTTATTTCCCGTTTCTCGGTCGTTGATATCGCCCGGTAAAGAACCCACAGTTTCCTTTAACTCAAGTATAAATGTCCGCAACCTATGAGATTCAAGCACAGTTCACATAGAGAAAAGGAAGAAGCATTACACAACATAAAAAATGGCGAAGTTTTTACCTATACTTGCCATATTGGCTGTGTTCGTCGGTGAATCATTGTGTGGAGTTCGTGTTATTAGACCTACATATAGACCGCCACCGCAGAGGCCTGTGATTAGAACAGCACGACAAGTCAACGATGAACCGCTGTGGTTGTACCAAGGCGATGATGTAATCAAAGCACCTTCCACTGGAGAGCATCCTTATTTACCTCCTTACATTGACGACATCAAATTGGACCCCAACATTAGAGTCGCCCGAAGCTTCGACTCCCGTAGCTCCAAGCATTCTGGAGGAAGCCACAGCACTTCAAGTGGTAGCAGGGACACAGGAGCTACTCATCCAGGCTACAATCGTCGCAACGCAAGAAGTATCCAAACTCCTCCTCTATTTCCCACATTGTCACCGACTAGACCACGTTACGTCCCCATCTACGTGCGGTCCCCACGCGACATACAGTTTCAAGGATTTAAAAAGCCAACCTACCATGATGTGGTGATCCCGAATTGGAACCCAAATGTTAAAACGGATCCTCGACAGATACTCAGAATTAAGTCTCGGAATTAAGTACCGCAGGAGTGTCAAAGTGGAGAATTATTTGTAAAACCTTATCCAGAACAATATTATTTACTTACATTATAATTTACTGTTAGATGTATAAGCTAATTTATATATAATATTTGTATATATTTTATAAACTAAATAATGTTATATTTGCTCTTGAATTTTAAGAAAGAACAAGAAAAAAATACTTTTGTGTGCCTTTAAATATAATTAATTAATAATCTGATCTATTTCTTTTAAATATAAAATTCAAATTTGTATTTTAATTATTAATTCGAAAGCTATTTAAATTTTAGTGGAATCTAAAATTTGAATTCAACCTTGCCGAGACATTCTACGCGAAAAAACGAATTACAAACGTTACTCGTTTTTTCTCAACCGAGAATTGATTCGACGAACCTAATCCAATAAGTTAGGTAATCACACTAGGTCATATAACCGTTAAATATGTAAGTATTGAAAATATCATTAGCCACTTCGTGCCTAAAGATATTTTTCGAGGAACGAAAGAAACTCATGCCATGATGACCTTTCCGATAAAAACATATAATATCAATAGGAGGGTGGCTTATGAGGTAGAAATATGTTATCACGCTATAAATATTCATTTCGAGATAACGTTACGTTTAATGAATGAATGATTTTTTGCTGGAAACCCACATTTGACCTTTTAGACGGCAATAAACAGTTCCAAACATACATATTAACCGACCGGTTGATACAGTTGAGCAACATTTATAAGCTTTTTTTTACTTTATTTAATCTTCTGTTATGTCCTCTATAATGGATATTTTATTCTCAAATGTAAACTCCGTTCCTTTAAATTATACTGTCTAATTGATTTGCAAATACAAAAAAAATGTCTACGAGTACGTCTCAGATTTTTACCACTAAATTATAAAAAAAAACTATAAGGAAAATAGAAGTACTTAACCTTAAATCATTAGTAAATAAGTATATCAAACGTATCTAACTTAGTTTGTAAAAGTAGTTTAATTAACTTTGATTCTGATAAATAGTGGGATGAAGTTATTCACGTATAATGAAGCTCTAGTTGAGGTTCATTACATTGTCAATACAACTGTGGCCTTACAAAGCTGACAGGGCATCGGAAGTGTGAGCTAAGTGCGAAGTGAGATGCAAATGGGAGAACTAGACAGTTGCACAATTCGATAGATGAAAATGAAGCGTTCAGTAATTAAGATGGTGTAAGCAAATTTCAGCGCTGTCAGAAAAATCAAATAAAGCAAACACGAAATTCTGAAACATTGCTCTTAAAAATCAAAAGGCGCTTTTATGAACTTTAAAAATCCTTGGTTTTGATAGTTTATACTTCTACTACTACTATTCTACTCAAGGTTTTATGTTCTGCTACAGATATAAACATGTCTACACATTATGTATTTAATCATGTATCGCAATATGCGTTCTACTGAAATTTTAATTTAATTTATCAATTATAAAATTAATCATAATTTTATTTAACGTGTGTGAAAACATTAATTAACCACAGTTTGTTGCAGACATATTTTCATTACAAAAAGTGACAATAGAAATAGGTCACGCCTCAAAACCTGTTTCGGCTCAATGCAGTGTATTATTAACCGCTTGCAAAATACAACATTGATTTAATGATTTAACCTATGTAAACATATATCTTATCGCACACATACATATAAAGCTTACTAACATTATGCATGCGAATGTTTAGATAACATGGATGGCTGGATGGTTGTTTGAAGTTATCTCCGGAAAGGCCGCATGGATCTCGCTGAATTTGGCATGGATGTGCTAATCGCGGGCGACAGCTAGTCTTTATATAAAAAGAAAATGGTATTTTTATTAATAAAACAAAAAAAAACATAAACTTTTTGGTACGAAGCTGTGATCAATTAACGCAGAATCGTACTTATAATTATATAGGCTCTTAATTATATAATTATAAGTACGATTCTGATTCTGATTTAAAACCAGATAAGTGAAATGTACCAGAATTCCTCCCTTTATATGCATAGATAGGTAAGCAAAGCCTTTCACTTTACTTTATTCCTATTATAAGGTATAAAACTCTTTTATGTGACCAATTCTAATTCGATAAAAAACATCGAATATCCAAACGATATGTGAAAAAATTCAAACATTTTTCGACGAGATTCGTTAACTCGAGTACGTATTTGAAAACGAATGGAAGTAAAAAATTTATTTTTATCATAAACATCTTGCTCGAGTGAGTTTTCACAATTTATAACATTGAACATTTACCCTAATAATGTCTTAACATAAAGTAAATATATTTTTTAAAGTTTATGTAGTAAATACATTTAATAGTGCTTGCTCATTTTTGAGAACTTATCCAATATTTTATTCAAAGCAAAAGAAACGAATATTCACAAAGTTTTGAAGTTCAGGTTTAAAAAGAATTATTAATTTAAAAGAAAATAGTTGAAGTTAGTTAGAAATCTTTATTAAAAAGAAAGATATTTCTAGAATACCAAGTATGAAAAGTATTTTAATAATAAATAACTGGCACTAAATTAAAAAGAAAAACTTTAGGTCGTACGATCCAGCGACATTGTTAAATTCTGAATTTGCACAATTAATAAGGCAAGGAGAGAATTTTCATAGTTTTGTACTGGACGCCAGTTAATGTTGGTTAGGAGAGAATTTTTACTGCCGCAATTCGGTAGAAACTTCTGTGAAAATATGTCGCCGCGATGTTTTAGTTCTTTTAATTGCACGTGAAATTTATAAAACATTTTAAAACAAAACCACAGGTAAACTAACCACATCTAGCGGAGTATATAAATGTAGTCTTAATATATAAGAGCACGATGACTATAAAAAAAATCTTTTCTTTTAAAGTGAGTATTTTAGTAATTTTTTTTTGCTATTTAAAAAGAAGTATATTAGATCCATTAGCGCATAATGAGCTCGTTCTACTGAAAGGTATGCTTAGCCTAAATTTTAAATTATATTCCAAAGTATCCGTACATTTATAACATCAAGACAAAAAGGAAAATAATTGCCTTCAAACTAGATTAGTAGTGAAGATACTTGGTTTCCTTTATCCTTTCATTTTCTCCATTCTCTGGAATATAAGAAATTGGGTTGTACCGGCATTTTAAATAACTATTGCTTATACTTTGTACTAAAAACAAGAGTGAATCACAAATTCATGATACTGCAGAGTTTGTTTTTTTGTTCGTATTGCGATTACATCGAATACATTCGCTCTCAGGTAATGTAAAGTAATACAATAAGAATGTTATCAAGTTTTAAAGCCCTATTGGTTTTTATGATGCTGCATAAAAGTATCCATTGGATCAATAAAAAGGGGTGCGCGGCGCAATCGACTGCGGTTTCGTTGTTTAAAATCAGACAGGATAATGCTACTGCAAATACAAGGATAGAACTCTATATATAACTTGTTTTAAACATAATTAATTATAATACAATACGCCTTCATTACAAAGTCTAGTGTAAGAATGAATAGTGAGGGGACACAAATGTCGACACCCCAGTAAGGCTAGTGTTAAGTCTATACACTGGCTCATTTGCGGTTGTTCTTGCTATCATTTGTTACAACCGTCAACCATAGACAAACTGGACATTACAACTTGCAAATTGCAAAATATTTGTGGTAAAATCCTTTTTTTTAACAGCTAAGATTAGATGAACCTTATTTTTCAATATCACTTAAATGTATCTTACAATTTCGTAATAGCTGCCATGTACGGAATTTTACTTTACTTAATTTTGGCATTGCATCGAAACGAAGTAGCAACGATGATTGGCTTAAAGATATAAATATTCAGGCTGGCAAAAAGCCATTCATTCATTAGCCGTACAATTGACCTAAAATGAATATTTACAGCGTGTTAACGTATTTCAACCTCGTAAGCCACCCTCGCACGTGTTTTTATCGTCACGTCATCATTACGTGAATTAAAAAAAACGTATGGTAATAACATACTATACCCAAAATTACAATTGTAAAGCGATATTTTTATATTACTAGTAGCGACTTAACAGTTGACTTAAGGTGACAACAACTAAAAACAAAGCCCCTTGTCATCTTCATTCTGTCCTAAAAATTACTCAATGTCTAATTAGACGGCAAAAAGTCCTTGTTCCATGTTACTTATATTTTTTACTTTGATGTTCATTATTTGGTATCGGGTCGGGAATTTTAGGCCAAGTGCTCAGAAAATATTTGAAAAGATTAATCTTATTTCTATAGAATTGATAAAGCGAAAAACAGATGCCTCTCGTAACCGACAATATTTTCGTAAACTTATTGAATTTGATGAAAGAATTGTTTACATCTAGATGTATTTGATAATTTTTTAGATAAATTTTGTTTTACTTTCATTTAAGTATTTATTTTCTTAATAACTTTTATATTTTTTAAATTAACTTTTAATTTACAGACAGATGGAACTAGTGGCCAATATCTGTTCTTTGTGATTGTGGCAAATTATTATTTTACGATGAGTAAGTTATCCATTGATGTGTATTTAATTGAGGGTCAAAGGGACCAGTGGAGCTTAATTTTTTTATATAAATTAATTACTAGTTCTTTAAAGCGTTCAGGAAAGAAGAAAATACGTCTCTAGCGTCCGACTCTAAAATGAAGATAAAGTTATTTAGCGGAATTACCTCGCGTAACGGTAGCTACGAGTAGGAAGAATTGATACCCGCAGTGGTAATGCTAAATGTATGCCCTTGATTGTTTCGATACATTTCTAGATTGTATTGATAAGAGAGCCAAAGCCAAACCAGCTTTTAACCTAGATGACATAAACAAGGTCAAATGATGTGGTGAAGATTTTAGTAAGGTTTTTTTTTAAAAAAAAACTGAAAGAAACTGTTAATAAAAGGTATAAAATATCATTTTATTTTAATACTGTCTATAAACATATGTTACTGGCATAAAATTTTAAAAAGCATATCTTTGTTTAAATAAGGATGCATAAAATTTAGAACGAAAAATTTAAGACAAGTTCTAGGTGTTTGGAAAATTGTCGCAATAAATCATTCGTAGTTCTATTGCTACGGATTCCGGAAGAAATTGCAAAAGTCGCTGAT